GGGCAGGATGGTGCTAAACCAGCCGGTGGCAGCAGGGCGCCCTTTGTGCGCACGGTGAGACGCTTCTGCAAATGCCACCGGCCCGGCGAGCGCCCGGCGCCACTGCCACATGCGCGTGGGCCCAGCTGGGCCTGCGCCCTGCGCGGGACCCTGTCGGGAGCCGGGTCAGGAGCCCGTGTGCGAGGCCAGGCGGAGCTGTGGGGCCGGCCAGGGCTGCTGAGACAGTGCTGTGGCTACGTGGTAGGCTTTGCTGGTTCCCTCCGTGTTTGCTTTTCGGAGAAGTGAGGCCCTTTGCTCTTCTCCTGCCCCATGGGATGACACATGGGGAAGAGACAAGGGTCTCCAGTGAATCCCTCCTACGGGATTTCCTGCCCCTCCGGTAGCCCTTGGGTACTGTGCATCCCTCTCCGTCATGGCAAAAGGACTCTTGTCCTACGAGCGCTGAGGCACAGATCCTCCCTCTGCCCCCAACCTGCTCTTGACCTTGACAATTTGAGGAAGACTCTTGTTAGCTCCCAGCAGGAAATCTGCTCTGGCTCTGCCGGCTTTTCCTTGAATGAGAACGCTAAGCCTTCCAGATGTCTGCACGTCCTTCCCCTGCAGCTGTCGGGACACTCTAATAAAATCCAGGGATGCCAGATGGGCTGGGAGGAGAATTGTTCTGCTCCTCCATCATCGACCATGTGGCATCCAAGGGAAGCCCTTGGGCTTCTTAGCCAGGGCCAGCACATGCCAGGGACCTCTCAGCCCATCTCCCGGTGGTCGGTGGCTGCATGTTCAAGCGCCGGATGAAGCCATCGTTTGGTTTTGGGCTGTCAGCACTGCTCTTTTTGCGGGATAGGCTCCCACCATGGTCCCCAACCAAAAGAAGGTGGTGAGTCCCATCAGGCCAAGTGGGGAGAGATCTGCAAGACGTGTGTAGGTCTTCTCTTGAGGGGGTTGCCTTCTAAAATGAGTGCCAAAGCCAAGTGAAAGATGTTGGCCAAAGGTTGGGAAGGCAACAGCTCCAGGAGGACAGGGCATGGGCAGGCAGGAGGGTGCAGGGGCTCACGTGGGTGTTCTAAAAAGGCTGCTACCCCCTGCAGGAACCACCCCCAAGTCTGGGAACACTCCAATCCTGAAGTGTCCCACCCAGTTCCCCCTCATCCTCTGGCACCCCTATGCCCGGCACTACTACTTCTGTGTGATGACGGGCAAGGAGCAGGACAAGTGGCGAGCCGTCTTCCAGGACTGCGTGCGGCACTGCAACAACGGTGAGGCAGCTCCGGGGACGCGCTGGGCGGGCTTGCGGGACAAGGGATGCGACCGTGAGATGGTGCCTGGGTGGGAGAGGACGTTTCTCTCTTGTTTGTGGCCTTTGGGGTGAAGGAGACCCAGCTTCACGTACGGGCTGTGCCTGGCGGCTGCTGGCCCAGCTGCAGACAGCTCAGAGGCGCCTGTGCGGCGCCGGCTAAGGACTATTTTCCATGCAGGCCCAAAAATATTTGGTCACAAACTGCTCAAAACACCTCCAAACTCCTCAGTAGCCATCCTGACCCGCTTCCAGTTGCCGTGAGCCCCCTGTGCTCCCCATGGCAGCCGGGGCTGCCGGCGCCGCTGCCTGGGAGCCCGGCAGCAGCGTGGGCAGCGGGAGGCAGCTCCAAGTGGCCCCCGGAGACGCAGCGCCAGCCTCTGGCGTCATTGTTGCTCTGGCCAGAAAAACGTGATTTTCCTGCTCGGCTGCAGCTGTGCTTCCCAGTTGAGGCCTCAGTGAAGCCGGGGGCAGGACCTGGACAGGAGCTGCTCTTTGGGGAGCGAGGTGACACAGCCACCGCAGTCCCCGTGTGCGGACCCCCAGGCCCCCCGCTTGGGAACTCTGGTAATAGAGGGAGGATAAGCAAATAAAGGAGGAATCAGTTTCTCATCCTGATAAAGAGACAATTCACTGATTTCTTATTCTTTTCCCTCTTTTCCTCCCTGGCTGCCCAGGCTCTGCTGTGGGCAAACCGAGAGCTGCGCTGCTGGGCAGCCCCTCACCGCGGTTCCTGGGCTTGGGGCTCCCAGGTGCCAGTTGCAGCCTCCAGCAGAAGCTGTGCTGTTAGATTTTTTTTTTTTTAATCTCTCTTCCTGCTCAGTTTGAACAGAAAATGTTACAGAAACGGCCTGTTTCCCAGGAAAGGAGCAGCTCTGGTGTTTTTTTTGTGTGTTTTTGTGGATTTTTTTTTTTGACTTTTACAAAATCAGACTTTGTCTGTTTTTCTTTGTAAGGTCTTTCTTCCCTTTTAAAATGCAGGTTAATGTGGCTCATTGTTTTTGCAAGGTTGAAGATAGCATTTCAACTCCATTGAAAGATTTTGTTTTGTTTTGTTTCCTCTGTTTTTTTTTTCCCAAATTAAACTTTTTTTTGTTTTTGTTTTTTTTTTTGTCTGTGCTTGTGATGAGCGTGGGAATTTTCACTGGCCCTTTATGTGTTTCTCTAATGGAGCATCCTTAGGGACCCAGCACGTGCATCTTGACCTAAACAGCACCGTGGTACTGGCACATGGGATTGGAGCAGCATTTCCATAGGATTGGACCTCCACTTTCTCATCTGCTTTTTTTTTTTTTTTCTTTTTTCTCCATATATTAAGATGAACATTAGGAAAATCTTCTTAGGCTTAGAGTTAAATATAATCATCTTAGAGAAATCCATGGGTGTTGGAAAAGATCTGCTAAATGACCCAGGGGCTCCTGCCTTTCTTGGGAAAGGGGGAAGCTGCCTCTGGCTGCATCTCCCTGGGGCGCCGTTGGCTCCAGCTTGGTGGGTGTCCCCACTCCTTGGGGACGCACCATCGCTGTCCTCGCTGTCCTCGCTCTTTGTCACCAGCACCGTGACAGAGGTGGTGGGCATGGAAGGGTGTGCGTGGGACATTTAATAATAGGCTCAGCTGAGCCAGGCTGTTCTGTCCGTCTGCCACCCTGTTGTCATTGAGCTTGAGCTGGCATGTGGTGAAGTCGCTCAGTCTCCCTATCTCTTCCTCCTCCTCCTTCTCCACTCTTTGGTCCCTAGATATCACAGCCGATCCCTGGCTGCCCCTTCCAGCTTGCCCTTGAGCTATATCCTGCTGATGGGGCTGGGACCCTTCAGGGAAGGCAGGGGGATGCCTGGCCCCGCTGGGGACCAAGTCATGCGGGTGAATCATGGCAATGCCATATGGGTGAGAGCGAAGCGCCCGGAGCACAACTCGCTTCCCCGGAGCACAACCCACCTCCCCATGGGGCTGCCCGTGACTCATCCCTGCCTCCTTTCAACCCCTTTTTAATTCCTCCCAAACTGTGTGGCTTCCCAGAGCTCTCCCTTCCCCAGCCTGCTCTGAGCAGCCCCACACCACCGTGCCAGCCCCCATGTCCCCAGTCTTCGGCGGAGCTCGCGGAGCCCCACGTCCTTGTGCAGCGCTCGGGCTCTCTGAGGCCTGGTCGCGTCACCGGGGCTCACCGATCCCTGCTGCGGCTGAGCCTGCTCTCCCGGCTACTTCCCTGCATCCATGCACAGACTGGGAGTCCCCGTGGCTGCTGGTGGGACCCAGGTAGGGGAAAGTGAGGCTCTGCTGCTCATGCTGCCTGCACAGAGCCAGGGTCTGGGCCACGGGTCCCCCCAGCCCTGGTGACAACCTAGGACCCCTGATGGGGAAGCAGGGAATGCGCTGCCATCATGGGCTGGAGATGCCACGGGTGGCTCTCGCAGGTGCCATGCAGTGGGGCACGCAGTTATGTCCACTCTCCTTGCCATGCTGGCTCACTCAATGCCATCCCGTCCCCCAGGGATCCCTGAGGACTCCAAAGTGGAGGCCCCAGCCTTTACGGACGCTGTCCGCATGTACCGCCAGTCAAAGGAGCAGTACGGCACTTGGGACATGCTGTGCGGCAACGAAACCCAGGTGAGGACCCATCTCCTGCCCCATGCCAGCCCCAAGATGGGACGTGCCTTTGGAAACAGGAGACAGGGTGGGGACAGGTCTGCGTCGCTGACGGCTCCTTGCCTTGGGCCTTGCAGATCCTGAGCAACCTGGTGATGGAGGAGCTGGTCCCGGAGCTGAAGAGCACCATCGGTCCGAGGCTGAAGGGCAAGACACAGGAGCGGCAGAGGACCTGGATCCAGGTGCGGGGGCTGCTCGGAGGACCTGGGCTATGTGGGGATGTCCTGCCAGGCTGCAGGGATGGTGGGGGCTGTCCTTGCCCGGCTGGCAGTTCTTGGGGATGTTCCGCGGCCGGGTCCCTTCCCCTCTCCACGCCGGCGCTGGTGCCCGGAGCCTGCTGGGTTTCCTGCCGGCGGCTGACTCAGCGTCACACCCTGCTTCGCCCCCTTCCCGCAAGAGCAGGCGGGCTCAGTCCTCGCTG